AGCTTAGATAACCGGAGACCCTTTTTACTGGAGAAGAGGCATTCCATCTTAGTTCTCACGGGTGACAACGCATCTGCATTTTGATTCCTTATTGAGGGCAGAAGAAGATATAGATGTCTATGGGTCAAAGCAACCACTTACCATCAGGTGGACTGTGTGCTCGTCTGTCACCCTATCCTATAAAAATATTACCTACTTACCACTTTTAACCCACTTCAAAAAAAGGAGAAGGTACTCAATTTGACTGTATTTTTTATGTGTTACCCCAGAACTTTTTCTAACTGAATCGATTATTTGTAGGCCATACAAATACTTGTTTCGTCCGGGATTCGAACTCGTGGCCCTTAGCGCTGCAACTCATTACTAAGCCACTGCACCACGGAGCCGCCACTTATTTATTTCACATTTTTTGTTATTAACGATCATGCGACACACGACTTCATTATTATTGAAAGAATGGCAATGAGAAGTGCTGCTACTTTCAACCTCTTTTTTTAATCGACCAAGTATTAAACATTAAATCAGTATATGTTGATCTTGCATTAGTAGGCAGTCACTAGTACTGGGAGGTCTACTTAAACTGAATAATGTTTTAAGGTCATTGCCATTATACGCGAAAAAATCGAAAACTGCGAAGCTGTGGTCGCGTCACTTATCAAATAATAAATCCGTAACTATGGCGTCATTAACTAAGTACCTAATTATCTAGACCAATAATAATATATTACCTTTCGGTATCCTTAGAACAGTAAAGAATGAAAATTTGACATTCCTATTTTTATTTAAGCACCCGTATGCTATGTTGCTATGCAGTACCTTTCGGCTTTTTGAGAGGCCATACTTGAATAAAAACTCAAAAATAAATATCAATACTGCCTAAATACTTATTAGAGAAAATAATTTATATGTTAACGTAAGGCACGCGTCAGCTCAAGCGAGCGCGTGACAACCTCGTGGAATTAGTGCGATTTTGTGTATTAAATGTCGGCGCATGTGAACACAAAATATAAAGTTGTACAGGACATGTGAATTAGTGGAAACGATGAAATGAGTTCTGGTATTTTGTAAATCTCAGGTTTTCATCTACTTAAGTGCTTTAAGTTATTAACGTTATCAACTGTTCGCTGGGGTAAGCTATCATCTAAATCTCAACACTGACGCATTAGGATATTGTGATTTTTTTGTTAACAGCATAGAATTATTACGCATAGAAGCGCAGTCCAGTACAAAACACGAGCGTTAAAATGATGCAAGGTCATTATGTTAGTGGGCGCGAGTCGAATGTGCCTACGCTCGTCACACGCACTCATACACGCCATTCAGTGATACCAGTTTCTGGCGTTTGCAATCAAATTGTGCAAATCACTATTTTTTGATCAATTTTAAAAAATCGATATAATAAAGATTACGTATTCCGTACGAAGATGTATTTTATGAAAATATAAAACGGAATAAAATAAACACGATAATGATGGTACTAATATAATTTTATTATACATATATTAATGGTAAAAAATGCAGACGTAATAAAATTTAATAATATTATTATACACAATTAATTTGCTCGAATACAATAAGCACATCGTGTAATGTTTAATTTTAACCGACTTCAAAAAGGGAGGAGCTTATCAATTTGCTGTATTTTTAAAGTTTTTTACCTCAGAATTCTACAATTTCTAAACCGATTTAGATGTTTTTATTTGAAAGGATATACACGCAGATTGATCCAATAGACACGATGAAATTTTAATGGTTGTTTTCCCGAATTAAAATGGTTTTGCCTTAGTAGTACAATAGATTTATTAAAATAAAATTATTAGGATGTAAAAATGGCAGATTTACAATCAAGAAAAACAAAACTCGAATGCGATCTCAAACCAATAGCAATATCTCGCAAGTAGGTCGGGTGTGCAGGCTAGCTTATACCGAATTACTATAATAAAGTCTGAAAAAAAAATTCGCTGGACGTAATGTAGTGTTATGTCTATCGCACGTGCTACCGCGCGCTTCCTACACAGTGAAGGGCCACTAATAAATGTTCATAACATGAACTCTCAAGCGTAGTGATACGACATAAACTAGTTTGGACGCCCGAATACCTTGTGAAGTATTACTATTGTAAATCTGCCCTTTTTTAATTGTAATATTTTTTTTAATTTAATAAAATGACTCTACTATCGAGACAGTATAATTTGGCTGCGGGACAACAACCACTAAAATTTCAGCATGTATATACGAATTGATCAAGCTTAGAAATCAGTTTACATATATATTGATAACCTTTCTTTTTGGGAGTAGGTTAAAATAGGCTATGTTTGGGTCTAACGTAACATCTGGTTAATGTTTGGGTGTAAAGTGACATCTGGTCAGTAAAGGCGTTCTTATTAATAATCTCATGATGTTGTAAATAAAAAAGTTTTATTCTATACTCTAAAACGTAACCTTAGTCAATAAAAAAGCAATTAAAATAAAATAGTTGCGTTAAAGTTGCGTCGATGAATCGCGATTAGCTGATCACTCCGTATTAGTTTTAAATAGGTACCCATTGTTAATATAATGTTAACACTTAGAGAAGTAGTTATCTATATATAAACGTTTGAGTTTTATACAGAGCGTTGCGATTAAACGTTTTAAACACAAATAGAAAATAAATATTTTTAAAAGAAAATTGTGATTTTTTTCCCCACAACTAGCAACATTTGTATTATGAGAGCTTAGGTAAGTATTTTTTTAGTTTTACGTACTTATAATGAATTAAATGTATAAGCTTATATGTGAAATGTAATACCATCACTTCTTTTATGTTTATCATCACCGTTGTGATAATATTTTACAACACAAGCGGTAATTTTTACAATTTTTCGCGGGCTCTTCTCCGTAAGGCGTGACGTTGCGTACTGACGTGTCGCTGAGTCAACTAACGCGGTTTCGCGTTAGTTTTACTTGCTTCACTTTCGGTGCGCGTACTAGTATTCTATGCGTAATAATTCTATGGTTAACAGATAACAAAAATCAGACTAGTCTGTATGGTCCTAGATCATTGCCTGCATTAATAGACTATTCATAGACTTAGGCCCGCCACATACATACGGAAATCCGTTTCGAGATTCCGTTTCGGAATTCCGATCGGTTGGCCACACACAAACAGAATCCCGTTTTACCCGCAAAATATCGAACGGAAAACTACCGTACGTGTGTGGCGGGTCATAGATTTTATATGGACTTGCTGCGTTCGGGATTCCGAATCGGAATATCGAAACGGAATCTCGAAATGGAATTCCGTATGTATGTGGCCGGCCTTAGAATATATACTTCGACAACTTTAAAAACATACTAGTGTTCATTAAACATCGATTGTTGAAGTATTCGATAGTAATCGATAGTTTCTTATAAGACAATCGATATATCGATAGACTATCGATTGTCTTTGAGCATGTATCAAATATAAAAGGGTGAGGCTCACAGAAAATGTACCATCACACACGGGAACTTGTAACGCACAATAACACACTTAACATAGATAACATACTGGAAATATTGTTAAGATTAGTTCACACGATTTTTATACGTGGTAGAGCCATGCTGCAGCTATATACAAGTATACAACCTGTGGCAAACAAATGCTAGCATACCATTCTGCATTAACCGTTCTTTGTCCCTCAAGAGGAATAGTCATAACATGGCCGGTTTTGGAGACAAACGTGGCCACCATTTTTTTTTTGGTATTGTTAAAGTTAAAGATCGGTGCTACACGGCAGATGTATTATACGATAGGACAACACTAATTACTTGTATTTGTTATTTTTGAAAAGTATATTACATGATGTACAGATTGCTATAAAAAGCTTTGAAAGTGAAAAATCCACTTCAATTATCAAACGTGTTGATTAAATACTCTTGCTTTCAACTTGCAACAGGATACTGTTGCCAAATGCAGCAATCACAGATAAGGACTTTTTGAATATCGATATCGACGGAAACCTCAATCTAGTTCCTTCTATGGATACCTCTTTTAATCAGAGAGCGTAAAAACATTATCAACATCAAATGCCGTATCAACAATAATACTGTATTGATGTTAATTTCGAAATTGGGTCCAGAGATGGTTCTACGCCAGGGTAAGGATAATTCTATTTCGGAACTAGCTAAAGAACTCGGCTACAATGCCATTGACAAAATGTTGCAGTATTAGCACAACATCTTTTTTATCCAGTGGAAGAATACGAATAATGTTATAAAATTTTGGGCTGAGGTGAATGAGCATAGCAGTGCTGCAGGAATAAATGACTTTGGAGAAATAGCTCGACTTGCTATAACCGCTTTATCATTAATTCGTTCTAATGCTGCAATTTAAACAATTTTCAGCGTTATGGGCATCGTTAAAAGCAAATTACGAAACAGAATGTCCAGTCTACTACTAAACGCTATAATTTTTATTAGGAACAGATTGAAAGTTCTGAAAATTAAATGCTTCAATTACGAATTGCCTAACGATGTCATTGCGGCTATTGGCAAAAACGCAAAGTACCTATACTCATATAAAGATCTATCACAACCAATAACATCGTCAGCGCAAATGGCCGCGTCGGTGACTAATGAAAATATGAATGACGATATAATATTTCAAAATCTTGAATTTTAATAAAGACTATTTTTTTTTTAACTGTTGACTGTTACTATATTTAAGCTATTGACTGTTACTAAATAACCTCTTTTTTAATTTCTTAAATGTAATACATGTAACGTACTTAATTTTGATTAAAAAGAAAATAGCGAGAACTGGTGGTCTTTTTTTCAAACCAAATTTCCAAAATATGGCGACATTTTACTTTGGATCTTGTGACAAGCTGATAATTTTTGAGATGGCAACTCTGATTTTAGTAAAAATAAAAATAGGTGGGAACTGGGAAGGGAATGGGAATGTAAAAATCTTTATTACTCTTTTGTTAAGACAGTAAATTAGTTATTTGTCATAATAAGTAATAAATCATTATATGAAAATGACTTCCGCACCATCAGATACAGAGTCAAACGTTAGCGGTTTTATACGTTACAGTGACAAGGACTTTAAGCATTTATACACATCTATGATACAGGTATAATATTTTTCGGTTTTAAAGGTTTAAATTTATTTTCCGTGAATTGGCACGGTGCCAAAACCTAGTGATTACTGACTGTTAAATGTAGCGATTATACTCTTTGGTAGCATAAGAAAATTCACTACACTATAATGGTGTCGCAAGAGGTAATGGCGGGAATTGAAACATGATGACAACAGCAGCAGGTTCCTGATAACAACTCAAAATAATATAAAAACGACGGTTTCCAACCCGCCTGTTAAATGTAGTAAATATCCCCCTATGAGGTAATCTTTGGGAGAGGCTTATATTAAGTTGTGTACTTTTAATTTGATTAGAGGCTGCACTAAATTAATGATATGTGAATAATAACAGAGATAATACAACATTTATAATTCTTTCAGAACATGGAAATTATTAATCAAGATATTCTCGAAGTGGAAAAAAATATGAAAAATATTGTAAAGAAGGCAGGCCCACTAGAGAATCAACTGATTACATTACTCCAGTCCTTGCCAAAACCAAATATAACTATGCCTATGGAGATGGAATAAAATGTGATAATGTTATGAAGATTTTATACTAATATCTCTTACAAAATAATTTTTGATATTAAGGATTAAAACCTAACATAATTAAGGTACTGATAATATTTTGTATTGTAATGAATATATTATTGTGTACTGGGAATCTTGTCCTAATTAATTAACTATATTCTTTTTACTAGCAGTATAAATTTACTATATGTATGTATTACATGTGTAATTTTTGTATTTTCAGCTCCAAATAATTTTTCTGTCTTAAGAATGTCTATAACAATCATTACCAAGTGAACGCTGTGACGTTAAAGGCTGATACAGAACCCAGTAGTTTTTGAGACAAAAAAATAAAACTTTTAATTTATTAAACATTGGTAAAACATTTCCTTGTTCACTCCTGAGTGAAAAAGATAGGAAGAAAAGAGGTAGGGCATGGCGGGCAACCCCATATGATTGGAATAAATCATTATTGTTTTGTAATATCATAAAATACTCCAGGTCTGTAGCATATCAAGGCATGGCCTTTGGTGGCAAATTTAGGGTCAGCATTTTGAGAATAAAAGTTATCTTACCTTATCTTCTTGAATTGATGTCTGTAAAAATCTCTATATTCAGAGTTTAAAATATTATGAACACTAAAATCTAAATACAGTGAAACATTGATATAACAAATCTGAAGGAGAGTCAAAAATATTCATTATACCAAGTAATTTGTTATAATGAGGTTTGTTATATATATATATATATATATATATATATATATATATATATACAGTCAAAACCGGATATAACGACATTGAAGGGACCATATAACTTTGGATGTTATATCCGATAGTTGTTATAAGCAATATACACAAGTATCCAAACATAAAAATATTTATTCTGAAAAACTTGCAGGACCAACAGTACAGCTTATAGAGTATAATAAGTTTTTAAAGTAATCAGTCATTTTGGTCTGTTTTTTTTAAGCAGAGTCTCAAATGTGTTTTGCATTTTACGTTTCATTCTCGTCAAGATTGCTTGATTATCATCAGCATTAAACTCTTCGTTAAAAGCAACAAAATTTTGTAAAACTATTATAGCATTAATAGCCTCGCATAGTGTTGCTGGTTGGAACTGCTCTTGGGAGTCTTCGTTTTCTTCATCAGTGTTACGATTATCACTTTCAACTTCTGCAAGAGTCTCTCCCTCAGTAACTACGGCGCACACGTCGGATGGGGTGGAAGAAAGTGCGTAGGCATAAGTCAAAACATTCCTCCATAGATTAGAATAAGTTTGAAAATTGTTCGTATTGTTTTATTTTACAAGCCCAACGGTTGGTTGTTATAGCCGATGAATATCGATAAAGTTCCGTCGTTCTAAGCGATATGTCGCTGTATCCGATGTTGTTATAGGCGGTATGTTTACTTAACTGTTTATTAGGGATTCGGCCGGGACCTTACCATTCGGTCATAATAACCGATTCGTCGTTATAAACGATGTCGTTATATTCGGTTTCGACTGTATATATATATATATATATATACACAAATCTTATTATATATATATATATATATATATATATAATAAGATTTGTTTTGGCAAAGTAAGCAAACTTAAAAAAAATTGAAACACATTGTAATTAAAGCCTTACAACATTACACATTAAATTAATAAAACAGTTTGAATTGCTGGATTGCTTTACGATAAATTGCTTAAACTCATAAAGAATACTTTATGCAGAGGTTAATTAGGTATCCTTTCCATGTACGGTTTTTAATGACTGAAAATTCGTTATAAAATTTCACCAATGTAAAGGTATATTTTGTATTAACTCTTACGGCCAGTTCTAGGGGATTTCTAAGAATTACATAAACCGAGGAAATCATTGAGGCTTGTTATACTAAGGCTGTACTGTTTATGAACATTAAAATTTTGATGGCTGGTGCTGTGATTAAGCATTGAGTTGCAATACTGCATTGGCTGTGAGCTTATATATGCCATAAGTTTTTGTATGGCTTACAAATAATTGTTGCAGGAGGAAATCTTAGTATAGGGGTTAAATTTATATATAATAGAAGTAGCTAGTGACAATAATTGTAATATTTCTTTGCCGTTTGAACTGTATATAAAATTGTGTATATAATGTTACAAAATCTAATCCTTACGGAAATCAACTTCGACAAATCATAAATATGGAAATATAGGTATTCTGTTCTAATTCATGGATTAAACAATAAAAACGGACATTAAATAACGCATGCTTATTTGCCATCATACATATAAAAAAAATGCATTGAGAAAACACCTTGTTTTATGAACTCTGTTTCAAACAGTGTCTGAATTGAATACCAAACCAATGTATCATCATCATCATAATCATTACAGCCCTTCACAAGTCCACTGCTGAACATGGATGTTTCCTACAAGGAATGCCACAAAGCATGGTCCTGAGCTACCTTCATCTATTGACTTCTACATCTGCTCACTACAACTTATACTACGCATCTCATATTATGTATTCTAAATCAATATTCTTCCACTACAATCAAGACAGAAGTAAAACATTATTTTAAAGCAATAACATATTTTGTCAAGTCACTGTCATATTTATTATAGTTGTTTTTATGTTACAAGCAATAATGTGAAATAAATTTTCTTGGAATATTTTTTGTTTCATTTCAATTTCTTAGTATACTTTGCGTAAGTTTTATGCATGTTTTAAAGGTTTAAATGTTTATTCAGTCTAGATTTTGATGTCTTCAATTCAATATTTTTATTACTATGAATTATAATACTAAAATGACCAGCTTATTAATCTGTTCAGCTATGTTGGTTACTTTAGTTCTTCTGCTGGTATCCTCACAGACTTTATCCCGCACAGAAAACATAGACCAGGAGATCAGTAAGCTGAAGTTGCAATGGGCCAACCATATAGCTCAAAGAGCTGACAGAATACTTCTTGAGTATCACTAGCAAGTGCTTATTTCAACTGCTTGCGATACACCTTGCATGTATTTTTATTTATGTACGAGGTTTAGTAATTGACAAATAGCAAATATCTACTCATAATTGCAAAATCCGAATCACATTAACAGACTAAGGTCTGTTAATGTGATTCGGATTTTGCAATTCTGCAATTTTTCGGAGCGCCACGGCGCTGTCACCGCGCTACAGTGACGCATATTTGCCGAACAGCAAGATGAGCCTAAATAGCGCTTTGAAATATACCAAATGACTGCAATAAATTATATCCTCCAGACCAAATTCCGGTGTCATCTCATCTGGGCAGGATAGGAATATAAAGCACGAGTTTGTCTCTTTTCCCTCACTATGATGACCGCAATCCGAAACCACCAGAGAGGGATTAGGCGCAGGATTAAGGTTCTCAAATATATCTTTATATATAAAAATTACGTGTCACGTTGCTTGTCCACGATGAACTCCTAAACTACTGAACTGATTTCAATGAAATTTTGCAGTTCGGTCCAACTTGAGAGATAGGATAGTTTTTATCCTGATAAGTGGCACTCAATATTTTTTTATTATGAATTTAAGGATTTTTTATATGAAGGGTCGTCGAAAAGGGCAGAACAACGTCTGCCTGGCCGGCTAGTATACATATATATAGTAATGTAAGAGTAAGACCCACAACTTTACGTGCTTTTCGAGGCACGGGAGTGAAACACCATCAACTCCAGGCTGCTACTGAGAATTACTTAACAGAGAAATCCAAAAACTGATTTTGGCCAGACTCGAGACTCGAACCCGGAGCCACATAATCAGTAGTTGCGCTTATGACCGCAAGACCAACGAGGTAGTCAACAATTAACATCCAAAGAACACATTTTTGTTCAAGGTATGCAAAAGAATTTCCCCATGCAATAAAAAAAAATGGTAAATCCAATTGGGCATGCCTTAAGCGCAATAAAAAAATTACGTATAACATGGTTATACGGAATTTTTTAAAGTAGGTAGTTTAAATACATTTCGACAGCACTATCGGCTTCAACACCCTCGAAAACCATGACAATGACACCCATGATAAAAAACTTGGTACCTACTTCAGCCGCCATCTTGGATTTACATTTCTACCCTATCGGCTTTAACTCTCGAAAACCATGAAAATGACACCTATGATGAAAAAATTGATACCTATTGCAGCCGCCATCTTGGATTTACATTTCGACAGCACTATCGGCTTCAACACCCTCGAAAACCATGAAAATGACACCCATGGTGAAAAAATTTATAACTATTGCAGCCGCCACCTTGGATTTACATTTCGACAGCACTATCGGCTTCAACAACCTCGAAAACCATGAAAATGAGACTCATGATGAAAAAATTGGTACCTACTTCAGCCGCCATCTTGGATTTACATTTCGACAGCACTATCGGCTTCAACACCCTCGAAAACCATGAAAATGACACCCATGATGAAAAAATTGGTACCTAATTCAGCCGCCATCTTGGATTTACATTTCGACAGCACTATCGGCTTCAACACCCTCAAAAACCATGAAAATGACACCCATGATGAAAAAATGTATACCTATTGCAGCCGCCAACTTGGATTTACATTTCGACAGCACTTTCGGCATCAGCACCCTCGAAAACCATGAAAATGACACCCATGATGAAAAAATTGATACCTATTGCGACCGCCATCTTGGATTTACATTTCGACAACCCTATCGGTTTCAACACCCTCGAAAACCATGAAAATGTCACATATGACAAAAAAATTGATACTACTTACTTTTAGTACGTACTACTATTATTTATTCTGTGCTTTTAAAATATTGTAAAAAAAATCTCTTATTATTATAATAATCAAGTTGTTACGGCCTATAGCTGCCCATGCAAATGTCGTCTTGGCTGGGGCCCATAGCAGCTTCCTCGACGGGCAGACGCAGGTCGGGCCCGATTAGCCACATGGAAGAATTTCCTATAACACTAAGCTATATGGGAGAATGCTAGAAACACATAGTACGTACCAGTATCAGAAGCTAACTTCGCACCAAGGCTCGGTC